AGGAGCAAATAAGACTTAAAATTTCGTGACCACGATATATTAATAAAATTATTGACTTTTGGACATTGTCCACTGTACTGCTTTTATTTAAAACAAAGTTTCGGAGACTGGACTCTGCATCCTTCCTCAGTTGAAACGTCTGCTCAGTTGAGCCCAATCAATATAGATAGTCCCTACCTCTGAAGATAGATTAGACCCAATTGAATCGAGTTTTTACCTGAGGACGGAGATAAGAGTCCGGTCTCCGAAACGTTGTTTTAAATAAAAGCACTATGATGGACAATGTCCAGAAAGTCAGCAATTCCAGGGAAACAGTAAACTGTATAAATGTAACTTTTTTATGAAATACGAGTACTGGAAAAGTCTATTTAGAATCAGATGTACTCGTAGATGGGAAAACACGCAAGACAAAAGACACAGTCTTACCTTGCAGTTATGAAGAAGCAGAAACATAGAAATAGAAAGTTAGTAGTAGTAGTAGTAGTAGTAGCAGTGAAGGGTTGAACTCTAGGAGACCTAAGCATGGGCCTATATAGCCTTTGCTACAGGCTACAGGGACTGCGAACAGTAAGAACTCCGTGTTATGCGGTCAGTGACGTACTCGTATGTATAAAAATACGTTACTCAGTAAACAAGATCTGAGGTTACGACGTTGAACAGGAAGATGGCTTTCGTCAAGGATGTGATGTGTAGTCTGGTATAAAGGTACCTATGTTTCAGAGAAACCTGCTGCGTCTACAGTCCGGAAGACAATCACCTTCAAACTTAGTAAATTTATGTCGTAATATGTACTCCATAGACCGAATGCTAATAGTGAGGCCTTTCGTACTTTCTTCAGCCCCATCAGCCGGATTATAGAATGGTACCATTTCTTCCCACATCCTTCGCTGTTCATTATTTATAATTATTGTGTAATTTGATTCTAGGTCTATATAACCTCTGCAGTTGTTAAATAAAGAGAAAAATAAACACAACTCCTTATATGATAATGGCCAGGTGAAAGAAGTATTAACCGAATGTTGGAATTTTCCACTGGCATACGAATATCGTGAGTTATTTGATTTTCTTTTGATGATGCAAAATGGAGGGACAGGAGTCTATCAATAGACATACTATTCTTTTTTCTTGGCACTACAGCCCAAGTGGGCCTAGGCCTACCTCCATGAACTCCGTTCACTTCGGTTTTTCTAGATCTTACACGTACGGTAGGATTCCTTGGGCGGGTGATCAGCTCGTCGCAAGGCCTCTACCTGCAGACAAACACAGAAAAACGCACACAAACATCCATGCCCTGAGTGGGATTCGAACCGACGATCCCGGCTTCCGAGCGAGCGAAGACAGTGCATGCCTTAGACCGCTCGGCTACCGTGACCGGCAGACATACTAAATATACTGCATATACTAAATACGTTACCTCAGTCTCTTCAGGAAAATGCCGGGGTCCTGCCTCGACTGGGATACGACTGCTTCCTTCCAGATAGTTCCAAACCTGCATGCAGTTTGAGACATCTATATAAAATTTGATACATGGATATACACTTTGAGATACCTGCATATTTTTAGACAATCACACAGTGTTTGATAGGCTGCAACCTGTTTGAGATGCCCATGTTCAGTTTCAGACACCACCATGCTGCGTCAGACAGCTACAGAAATTATGACATAACTACATATTTTCCTCTTCACAGCGGTCAGACCGCCTCTGGGGCCCACCTTGATATACAATGGGTACCGAGGGCTGTTTCCCCGGGGGGTGAAGCGGCAGGGTGCCAAGAATAAGAGCGGTGGAGCCAAAACTTCACTCCCCTTAGGTCTTCATGGCTTGGTGTTTATTTAATCCAGCCTAGTGATAACTTTGCCAATCACATTGGCCGGTCTAAGGCATGAAATGTCTTCGCCCGCACGAACACTGGGATCGTGGGTCCGAATCCAACTCAAGGCATGGATGTTTATTTGCGTTTATTCTGTGTTTGTGTGTAGGCAATGGTCTTGCGACGGGCTGATCTCCAGTCCAAGGGGTCCTATCGACAATCTAAGGGCGCGACCATATTACTCGTGCTCGTGTGACTCGCTATGCTCGCGAGTAATGTGGATGATATGACAAGTCACGAGACAAGCAAATTTTTAATTTTTAATTTAAAAACTATAGTCAATAAATTAAAATACGACTACAGCCTATACACACTACGAATAAATATACGGATCCTCACGCGCCGAAGCCTGGCGAGCAACTGAAGTAGTGTGGACGAAGATTTACGAGCACAAGTAAAAGCCAGACGAGTCTCCCGACGAGCACAAGCCTGGCGAGCACGAGCACGAGTAATGTGGACGCATCTAAAGCTTAAGAAACTGAAGTGAAACAAGTGTTTCACGAATGCCCCATCTCCCAAGTGGTAGTAGCAACAGTAATACGCGGGCAGGCAGGCAGGCGGGCAGGCAATGATAACTTTATCTTACCTTACACCCACGTGCAGGTTCAGGCATCTGCATACATTTTGCCACATACATAAAATTTAATACTCCTACTCACGAGACATATATCACATCAATATCCCAAGCGGTATTTGAACCTACAGCCCCAGTATTCGAGAAGTCCAAAACCATTCGGGTCTTAGTCTATACAATGACCAGGAAGGATTAGATGCTGATTTCTTTGCAAAAATACACGGACATATTTTTTTAATAGGAAGCGAACTGCGGGGATCAGGGCCAGCATATCTGCTTGTTGTGTTCAGGACGGTCCACGCGAAAGGTCGACAATGACAGACGCATTGTGTGATATTCCTGTCATCCCAAATAAATATATTTAGTAGAAGGACACGTCTTTACATATGACTTGCTTCTTGCCTTTAGCAGTTTTACATTAGAAGTAAAAACAACAAGAGTTAGGCAAAGACTCTGGAGTCAACAAGCAAATTCAACGACTGGAAACGACCATTAGGCATGTTACACCACAGATACAACAACGATAGTGAACCATTGAGTTCTTACATGTTATTTTAAAACATAATTGTAATAATATTAATAATAATTTTAACCTAATTAAACAGGAAATTAAGAAGAAACTAACATTATATAGACACAAAATACGTTTCACGTATACACTTACATATACCTTTCCCAAATCTCACATTTACACTGTATCATATTTAAATTTAATATATTGCTTGCATGAGGCACGCGGTACCGTAGTTGGTTGAGGGGCTATTATACAAGCCGGAAGGTCGCGGGTTCAAGTACCGATGAGGTCATTGGATTTTTTTCAATTGACCTAATCCTTCCAGCCGCACTATGGCCCTGGGGTCGACTCAGACTCTAACAGAAATGAGTACCAGGACTATTTTGGGGGGGTAAAGGGGGCCGGCGCGTAGGGTTGATAACCTTGCCGCCATCTATGAGCCGATTGTCTAGAAAATGTGGAAACCTCAACATCTCACAACCCTATGGGCCTTCACGTCCTGTTACAGGGATAACTTTACTTTACTTTTACTTTATAATGCTTGCATATTCCCATGTTACACACTCGTATATTTCACTGTTTGGCCGTACGATAGACATTTGAATGAATAACACTTAAAAGGAACTCGTCTTCTATTAAAGTAATGACATTAAAATTTAGATAGCTGATATCAAAGCGTCTGTACCATCTGATGATGACACAGAAATATGGCCGAAACACGTAATGGCTATTAAACACTATCAATATTAGGCAGCTGTGTTGTTGGTATTATAAGAATTATATTGCCTATGTTTGACCGCCTATGTGGTCTAGTGGTCAGAGTTCCTGGCTACACATCCAGAAGTCCCGGGTTCGATTCCCGACGCTACCAGATTTTCTGAGAAGTAATAGGCCTGGAACGGGGTGCACTAAGCCTCGAGAGGATAATTGAAGAGCTATTTCAAGGAAATAGCGGCTCCGTTCTAGAAAACCGAGATAAACGGCCGTAGGGATTCGTTAATGCAATTACTTACCGAGTTTAATTACGATAAGATTGGAAATTGTAAAATTTATAATAGTCAGTATCTATATCCATAAAATCTCAGGCAATTTTTTACTCCTCGCCAGTTTTAACGAGTTTGCGGGAACGCCGTTGGAGGCGCCACTTGACGGCTCTATTATTAGAGCTGTTTGCAGAGGATACACGCGAAGCAACTGACTACAGAAAGTTTATACAAGAGTACAACCTAGCAATAGCATTCCCATCACTGGGGGCGGATATTAAATTTCCACCTATAAATGGTCCACATTCTCTCGGATACAAGGCAAGATTTATCAGCCAGTCTCAGATAATAGAGACAAATAAGCCAGGATACGGATAATTTTTTTTTTCAATTCTACTGAAGCAAAATAGAAACAGTTCGAAAACCCAACAAACCAAAGGGTGTACGGCCGAAGCAATGCAACGACTGGACGAGATGCTATGACAAGTTAACCCATTTGCTGAGTCATATAAACGAATTGAAATGTATCTATAAATAAATAAAATGCACTGATATTTAATTAATAATAATATTTAAGATCAGCTGAAACAGTGGTACTCAACCCTTGTGAGACCGCGGTCCGGTAAGTTCCTTTTTATAAGACGAGGACCCGGTATAATTGACGCCAGGGCCCGGCGGCTGAGAAACACTGAGTTAGAACGGCGTATGTTACGACAGGTACAGCTAGCATCTCTTCAGTGGTAATCTCTGAACTCTCGGGGAGTCATGTACATTTAATATTAAGAATTAAGTTTGATAATGTTCAGAATTTTTTGATGTACAACTTTCGGACGTTTCGTGTCATAGTCTTACCGCATATGTTAACTAAAATAGGAACTTTTAAGCACAGCAAAACTGGATTCAGTTTTCGCTTATTCTGACGGTGACGTTCCAGGTCTACATTTGTTATACAGAAGTTCTCCGATGAAGGCAACGGCTGAAATTGCGAGTCCCAAAAACAGTAAATATAAGCTGCCTTCGATATGTTGATACTGGAGCTTGGTGGGACCGTAGTCGTCCTTTGAACTTCTCCGGCTCTGGCTTACGGCACGTTGCACCCCCATCGGCAGGAAAGCACTCACCACCTGCCAAACACAACACATTGTCACACCATTTTCACATTGTACCCCTATCGGTAAGAGAGCACTCACGACCTGCCAAACGCAACACCTTGGCACCACATTTGTGGACAGCAGAGTCCTCTGAATTGCTTCTACAAATACGGGATGTTTCACGACTTTCGGGCATAACTGCAGGAGGTGATTTCCTAGGTCTTTGTGATCAAAAAAGTTCATCTAAACATGTGTCCGATTTTGGACGGTTACGGAGTTATGACCGTTTTTTCATTCCCGTACACGCCCTCGTATGAACCGCGTCTGTCAGCTGGCAGGTCGCTATTTTTAGTCAGCTACAGATAGAGCGTTCTCGTTATCTCGACACTTGAGAGGTACCTAAGGCGGGGAGGGTTGGTATGTCCGGCACGGTTCACAACCGAGCGGCAGCCTGTGTTGCGGCCGGCGGTGACATTTTCGAAAATCAGCTTTAAGCACCAATCAATTCAAATTAAAGGCAATTTCACGAAGTTAACTTTACATACATACTTTAAATGTATTATGTATTATGCTGGTTTATTATTTTGTTCCGTTTATTGTCAGTAATCGTTACCTTCTATTCTGAGTTTAAAACGGCCATAACGCCGCAATCGTAACACATGTTCATACGAACTTTGTTGATCACAGAGACCTAGGAAATCACCTCCTGCAGTTATGCCCTAAAGTCGTGAAACACCCTGTATACTGTACGGTAGATAGGGCTTCATCGCTAGTATACAAGGTTTGCTTATCGAACGGTTTGAGGTTGTGGAACAGCTGTGACATACTCGGGAACAACCCGGTTTAAATATTGGAAGGGACATCAGGTACCGTCACTGAGAATTTTATGATTATTTTTGCCATGAAATAAGACTTCTAGAATGATAACTTAAGAAAACATAATCACTCTCTTCCCAACTCGATCACATGTTATCTTCGTCTCATCTCATTCCAAGGTACAATGTTTTGTAAAATACAGAACTTGCTGATTCTAATAAAGAAATGCGTTTTTAATAAAATTTATTTTCTACAACCATTCCTGAAGTCAATAATGGTGTAGCCATAACGCCAATTCCATATATGTCTTCATGGTATAATTAAGCAAATGGACAACTTTACAACTCACTTATGTAAGCTTTCGTCTTAGCGAACCCGAGTGACATGGTCGCGTGGTATAACCATGATATGATGTAGAGAAAAGCAACTGTATTTAATCACTGTGTCTTGGCTGTTGGATCATTATGTCTCTTGGAATGAATTTCCATTATGAGAATTTAGCTTACGTGTAGCTAAGTTTGATTTGTGTTTGACGATACAGTCTTATAGCGGAATCCCTTGAACATCGATGAAACCATAACGTATGATCGAGCAATATCAAGGTTATCTGACTGTCTGTATTCACTCTTAGAGCACTTCAGTCTCATTCGTTTTTGTGAGAGCATTGTTCAACACAATCCTTATTTTTTTTCCTTGGCACTACAGCCCCAGTGGGCCTAGGCCTACCTCCATGAACTTCTCCGTTCACTTCGGTTTTTCTAGATCTTACACATTTGGTAGGACTCCTTGGGCGGGTGATCAGCTCGTCGCAAGGCCTCTACCTGTACACAAACACAGAAAAACGGACACACACAAACTAAACATTCATGCCCTGAGTGGGATTTGAATCCACGATCCCGTTTTCCAAGCGAGCGAAGACAGTACATGCCTTAGACCGCTCGGCTACCGTGACCGGCCGATCCTTATTCACAATGTGCAATGTTTTCCCGTTTGCTACAATATACCTCCTTCATTTCTTCCCCTCGGCGTTACAGCTCAGGGTGAGCTTTGGCCTCCTGAACAATCTGCCTCCATTCTTCTCTATTCTTCATCTTTCCTCCCCATCCTCTCACTTTCATTTTACGGAGATCATGTACATCCTCCAACCATCTCAGCTCCCTCGCTGATGTAGATTTCTGTTCAATCAACCCATCCGAGGCTGACGGTCTGGTTTCTGAACAATTAGGTTTTTACAGTGTGAGGTTGTTAGCCTCTCGCCCAACCCCCAACCTGGAGGACCAGGGTATCCCTTGTAACCGATTACTCCTTTTTAGTAATATACTTCGCCTAATTTATGCATACCTTCATTTTTATGTAACTTTTCTACTTTAACGGAACTTAAATTAAGAGTTTGGGTGAATTGCGTACATTACTACGCACTATAAAATTGCCGTGAGCTATGTATTGAAAGGGGATGACTTAAAGTCCTTTGACCCTTACGAACTCGTGATTTAGTCCTTTCTTTGTCTTATGATGGGTGATGTAAGCCCAAGGAGTAGGTAGCTATGGGGTTTACAGCGGTACTTCCCACCAACAGCCAATCAGCTTGCTGAAATTGTAGTATGACATCATACTGAAGGCTGAGATTTCGATATGTAAAGCTCTTTCTCCAGAAGAGACGCCAACTAGTTCCCGAGCGGTGAAGACGTGTTCGTACACGTTCCGTCTTCTCACAAAGGCACAAATGACTGTATGTAGTCTTATATTCAAGTGTAACCAATATGTACGTGAACGGAGAAGTTCATGGAGGTAGGCCTAGGCCCACTGGGGCTGTAGTGCCAAGAAAAAAAAACCCCAATATGTACATACAACTCGTACACGTTGCGTCTTCACACACAGGAACAAATGACTGTATGTAGTCTTATATTCAAGTGTAACCAACTTGTGGCTAAACGCACTACACAAGAGTTTTCTGGTGACACCCTCTTCGTCTGGCTCCCATCCCTTGACCTGTCTGACATGGATGACCCTACCAGTAGCTACGCTGCCGTCAGCATAGCTCTCAAAATCTCAGGATCACTCAAACCCCACGATCACGATAAGGTGGAGACACCATCGGTGGGGTTTGCTATAATATGCTTAGTGAAATTAAACTTTCACTCTGAAAGGAGAACAAAAGTTTAAATACTGAGCACTCAAAAGAAAATTCAGATTTGAAAGGAGCGTCGCTTCAAGGCTATGAGGTAAGTTATATATTGATAAATCTGATGCTGAATGATTCAGATCAACTGAAAATTGTTTTCAATTCATTTAAGTACATAAACAGACCTTCGTACTTTATAACCAGCCAAGTGGAACGTCAGAGATGAGGGACCCAGATCAGGGATGTGACAATATGCCGCCCAGTCAGCGATATCGCACAAACAGCGGCAGTGGACATGGTTCCGAGGTAATTTCGTCCACTTCACACCCCCTCAACCCTTAACCTAATACCCACACAGATATATTACTCTAAATGGATGATTTAAAACGTGCTTTCCACCCAAATTCTCTGCGTATTTCTTATTTACTGCACTTACGCTACACGTTCAACCCATCCTTCTTTATTAACTAAACATACAATACAGGGTAAGCTATAGAAATTGCCACGTTTCTTGTCATATGCTTATAAAATGCCTCAGTTGTAAAAGGTAAAGTTGTCCTTGCGCTTAAGTAATTAAACACTACATCATGAAGGCGTATGAAGGAGTGGATGTATATATCGGTATTTTCTTGACGTTGGTACTAGCTGGAGGTGTGGTCAGCTTCACGCTTCGGCCGCTTTATCTTCGGGGAAAGAGTCCCTGGTAGCCATTGGATAGGAGGTTATGTGGACCCCAGAGCTGGTCTGGACGACGTGGAGAAGAAAAAATTCTTGACTCTATCGGGACTCGAACTCCGACCCCTCGGTCGTCCAGCCCGTAGCTAATCGCTATACCGACTACGCTGTCCCGACACTTAGTTCAGTTGTTCTTTATATAATACTGATATAATACATCAGCTAAATTAACTTTGCTCAGATAAGAAAATCAGGAAAATTTATTGCTTGGTTCTATTCGGAGAATTAAGATTTTTTTTAATGATCTGCAAGGTATTCCAGATACTGGGCAGTTCTGTTTAGTAGCACACGAGCCGGACGCAGTGCGATAGGACGAGATTGAAATAATGGAGTGTGTTGTGTATGGATTAATTCTTAGCACAAATATTATGTTTCTGGACATATTATTTTTTTAAACACAGTGTTTCGGAGACTGGTTTCTGTGTCCGTCTTCAAGCAAAACCTACTCAGCCAGGCCCAATAGATAGAGCTAATCCCTATCTTCAGGACGGTTTTTAGATAAAGACGAGGCGATTGATAATGTCCAAAAACATAATGTTTGTACCAATGTACCATAGTCACAAACTTCTAGATCTTATTATTTCTTAGGTTACATATTAAAATACTCTGAATAGACTACAGGGATCTCAAAGTTCCAAATAAGATGGGAAGATGAATGTAAGTAGTGAATATTCCCACCGCGGCGGCCCGGGTTCGTTCCCGGGTCTGGTCAAGTGGTATTTGTGGTGGATAAAGTGGCGCTGGGGCGAGTTTTCTCCGAGTACTTCGGTTTCCCTTGCCAATCTTCATTCCACCAAATTCTCCATCATCATAATCACCCGGGGCAGGCTACAATAGGCCAATCAGTGGCCGCCGTGCCGAGTGGACCCAGTTGGACTCCTCCCCCCACTAAACTAATTTAAGAAAAGTAGTGAATAAGTGAGAATTTAGATAGAAGCGATCATGACCTATTTCGTTTGTCCAGAAAATAAGTGAAATCTGTATTCAAGATAGCCTGTAACTAGGCACAAATTCGAACAACTTACCTCCAGGATAAAAGTAAAACAGAAACCTGCTAAGGCGATATCGTATATACGTAGACCTGCACGTGAGCTCGGGCAAATGCAGGTACTCCAGCCTTTGCAGCCATGCAGCAGTGGCAAATCTTGAGGCGAAGCTGATATACTAAATACTTAACTTCAATTTCAATGATGAGACCCGTCACTTGTGCAATTAACCAGTAGAAATATACCTGACCTGTTCCTCCCACTTGAGCACGAGTCCTGAGTCCAGGAGCCTGTGTATGAGTTTGTTGAGTTTCGATATGTAAGGCGATCCCTTGCGAACGACCGTGGGCACAAATTCAAAGTAGAGGTCTTGTTTCATTAGCCTCAGCTTGGCTGCTGCTGCTTCTTCGGTGATATAGTCCCCGACAGCATAATGACCTGGAAGAGCGTTTTATATATGACTGTACGAATGGAATGTGTCGAAAGGAATATCAGCTCAATTTTCCACCGTGACCAAGGAGCACACACGTGAGGCGTGGAGGTTATAATGTCCAGCTTCCGGCTATAGCCGTGTTGCTTCCTCTACACACTGGAAAAAGAAGGCTTGTGACCTCTAAATCGGAGAAAAGAAACAATTGGGCCACAGCTGGGAATTAAACCGCAGACAATCAGTTTACTAGCACCAGTACCTCGGTCCATGCACATGATAATACTGTCACGTGTAAGGGGGTATGAGGGACGAAAATAACGGGTTATAGTCCCGGAAGTTGGATGTATTGGCACTTGGGTTACAATCTCTCTTAATTAAAATTAATACAGCGCTATCGCTGATTTACACTCATATTATATTTTAGCATCCTGTTGTATTAAGGTATCATTCTTTTTGCTAGATTATCCGTCAATAATACAATATAAAAGACATTAAGAATATGCCATTCACTTAAAATGTATTTCGATACTATGATTATTAAAATCATTAAAATGTCCATAGGACACTACAGGTATAGAACTTTATACATTAAAAGTGATGTCAAAATTGTTTGGACTGTATTAATTTTACATGTATTTTCTAGATTTTTAGTTTTTCACTACATGCTAGTCGTCTCCTAGCAACGGATCTCAACGTAGAAACTACTACTTCAAATCACTACGAAGTCTTCTTGTCTTGAATCACTTTGTACTCCTCTGTCCTAATCTGTACTCAATTAATCATCAAAAGTCACTAAGGATACGCGCCATTCTCGCCCCTGTACTCTCAACTGCCTTGCAGCTTCTACTTCGTTCCTCCAGCTTACGACTGCTCGACTGTCCTCTATAAACCTTCGGCCCGAACCTACAGAAAACACGTCACGTGGTCTGTATCCACTGTTGTGTGACGTCACTGCCTACGTGGAAGTGTGTTTACCGAGCTGTTGCCAAAAACAGGTTGCATAACCCCGCTGTTCCATTGTTGTTGCGTGTATTACTTAAAAATGGCTGTTTCTGTGGCTAAACCGTTCTTGTATGTGGCAAATACACCATAATATGTATTATGCATTTTTTTATTTCTTTGGGTGGGGTAAGACTGGGTCTTCTTATTACGTCGGCCACTAATCGGCCTATTGTACCAGCCCCAGATGATAGGTGAGGGTGATTGTGGAGCAATTTGTGGAATGAAGATTGGCAGGGGAAACTGAGGTACTCGGAGAAAACCTGCCCCAGTGCCACTTGGTTCACCACAAATCCAAAATTACCTGACCTGGGATCGAATACGAGCGGGCGACTAACCGCCTGAGCTATGGCACACTATGCATTTTAATTTGAGAGAACTTAAAGGTGGCTGTGCTCTGAAGGGATGGCTGTCAAAATTAGGCCTACATGTCGAATGCTGATGCCTGCGCGCATGCTTTATTTTACTATACATATATACATTACATTCCGTACATCCAAAGTAAGCCAGAATGACTGTAGGATTTGGAACAAGTCATACAAATACAAAAGCCATACATACAATAAAACTGAGACACAAAAACATCCACAGATATAAGTCAATACTGTCAGCTTATGCTATGTACATAACCTTTTTAAAGGACGAGTCGTTTTTAGACAGTAGGAATTCATCACAGAGTAGAATGAGTGTGTACTCGTATATAAGTATTGTTTCAGTGCTAATTTAAATTGCGCCTTTTCATTCATTAGACTTTGAGACTAGATGCAACTTGTTGAAAATGTTAATGCTAGAATAATATGCGATTTTCTGAAAAATGTAATTTTCTTTATTGCTAGTGAGGTGGGACTAAGTCCCTTGTACTGCGGCCACTTCTGGCCTATTGTACCAGCCCCAGATGATAGGTGAGGGTGATTGTGGAGCAATTGGTGGAATGAAGATTGGCAGGGGAAACCGAAGTACTCGCAGAAAACCTGCCCTACCGCCACTTTGTCCAAAACAAATCCCACTTGACCAGACCAGGGATTGAACCCGGGCCGCCGTGGTGGGAAGTCAGCGACTAACCGCTTGAGCTATGGCGAGGCCTAAACATGTCAGGTTAGCAACCGTTCTATGGAGATGGCACTTGTTTCTTATGTTAACACCGTGTACATCGGAATTGGTCTGAACACGTTCTTGGTTATTTATAATGAAGCTTAATAATGAAAATATATATTCACATGGAAGAGGCAAGATCCGTAATCTCTTAAATAGCTCTCTGCAAGAATTTTGGGGTTTTACGCCCACCATGATTTTAACAATTTTGTTTTGTAATGCAAATACTCATATGAGAGAGAACACTGTTCAATGACGTATAGAAATCATCTAAATTCTTACTAGAAATTATTACACTAGTGTCATCAGCAAATACTATGGGTATTGATCGGGTATTTATTGTTGGTGAAAGGTGATTTATATAGATTATAAAAAGAAGAGGACCTAAAATTGACCCCTGAGGAACTCCATGCTGTATTTTCCCCATTTTGAATAAAATGCTTACCAGCTGGCAGGCGTTCAATGGAAAAGGCAGTGTCTCCCATGAAGGAATGCTTCCTCAACTCTTCATTCTTCATGACACGGAACTGGGAAGTGACGTGGAGCGTCAGCGGGTCGCGGCTCTCACGTAGAGAAAACATCCAGGCAGGATGAGTAGCAGCCCAAGGAATATTGCTAGCAACAAGATCAGGCACAGTGTCTATGGGTGGTCCAAACCTGTAGAACAACAAACAAAAACTCCGTGGCTTAAGCCGCAAGCAAACTATACCGACCGAGCGACTGCCGCTTTTCGGCGAAGTTGGTGCCAACTTTAACGGATAGAGAGTGTCGCGTGGTCAGCACAACGAATCCCCACGGCCGTTAATTTTGGTTTTCTAGACCGGAGCCGCTATTTTTCCATTCAAGTAGCTCCTCAGTTATTCTCAAGAGGCTGAGTGGACCATGTTCCAGGCCCACTACTTCTCAGGAAATCTTATAGCGCCTGGAATCGAACCCGGGACCTCTGTATCTGTAGTCAGGATCTCTGACCTCTAGACCACTGAGGCGGTAAGTGGTAAAAATTGCAACTGCGACGCTGGGTTCAATATATCCACATTTCCGCACTTAACCGTTCGGGAGCTATTGAAGAGCACTTTGATAGAATTCTACAGAAGAAAAGGCTATTTTTGAATATGAAGTCATATAATATCGTCACACGTATGAGTGACTATGGACGGATTTTGGAATGATGTTCGGATTTTTTGGACTCTTTGGTACCGCGAGTGTCTACACTTTACAATTTCCTATAACTCACACACATTAGCGTTCACAGTCACGTCTTCACCAGCCGTTGCTTGGTAGCTGCTTTCAACGGCGAACGTTCCCTTCCTCTGGATTCCGAAACTGTTCCCAGCCTCATCTACCAGCTTCTAACAGTAACAGCTCACGACTAGAGCCCAGTGCTCCTCTGCCTGCTAAATTGCTGCTGGTCCTCGCCAGTACAGTTATTCTTGGTGCCTTACTGCCTCAAGCGTCTGGGAGTCTTTGGAGCTGACTCAAAGTCAAAGTCACATTGCGACTAATGGTCAGTCAGTAAGTCTTGGTGTCGAGCCCCATCTGGGGCTCATGACCAGATNCCCGGGCCGCCGTGGTGGGAAGTCAGCGACTAACCGCTTGAGCTATGGCGAGGCCTAAACATGTCAGGTTAGCAACCGTTCTATGGAGATGGCACTTGTTTCTTATGTTAACACCGTGTACATCGGAATTGGTCTGAACACGTTCTTGGTTATTTATAATGAAGCTTAATAATGAAAATATATATTCACATGGAAGAGGCAAGATCTGTAATCTCTTAAATAGCTCTCTGCAAGAATTTTGGGGTTTTACGCCCACCATGATTTTAACAATTTTGTTTTGTAATGCAAATACTCATATGAGAGAGAACACTGTTCAATGACGTATAGAAATCATCTAAATTCTTACTAGAAATTATTACACTAGTGTCATCAGCAAATACTATGGGTATTGATCGGGTATTTATTGTTGGTGAAAGGTGATTTATATAGATTATAAAAAGAAGAGGACCTAAAATTGACCCCTGAGGAACTCCATGCTGTATTTTCCCCATTTTGAATAAAATGCTTACCAGCTGGCAGGCGTTCAATGGAAAAGGCAGTGTCTCCCATGAAGGAATGCTTCCTCAACTCTTCATTCTTCATGACACGGAACTGGGAAGTGACGTGGAGCGTCAGTGGGTCGCGGCTCTCACGTAGAGAAAACATCCAGGCAGGATGAGTAGCAGCCCAAGGAATATTGCTAGCAACAAGATCAGGCACAGTGTCTATGGGTGGTCCAAACCTGTAGAACAACAAACAAAAACTCCGTGGCTTAAGCCGCAAGCAAACTATACCGACCGAGCGACTGCCGCTTTTCGGCGAAGTTGGTGCCAACTTTAACGGATAGAGAGTGTCGCGTGGTCAGCACAACGAATCCCCACGGCCGTTAATTTTGGTTTTCTAGACCGGAGCCGCTATTTTTCCATTCAAGTAGCTCCTCAGTTATTCTCAAGAGGCTGAGTGGACCATGTTCCAGGCCCACTACTTCTCAGGAAATCTTATAGCGCCGGGAATCGAACCCGGGACCTCTGTATCTGTAGTCAGGATCTCTGACCTCTAGACCACTGAGGCGGTAAGTGGTAAAAATTGCAACTGCGACGCTGGGTTCAATATATCCACATTTCCGCACTTAACCGTTCGGGAGCTATTGAAGAGCACTTTGATAGAATTCTACAGAAGAAAAGGCTATTTTTGAATATGAAGTCATATAATATCGTCACACGTATGAGTGACTATGGACGGATTTTGGAATGATGTTCGGATTTTTTGGACTCTTTGGTACCGCGAGTGTCTACACTTTACAATTTCCTATAACTCACACACATTAGCGTTCACAGTCACGTCTTCACCAGCCGTTGCTTGGTAGCTGCTTTCAACGGCGAACGTTCCCTTCCTCTGGATTCCGAAACTGTTCCCGGCCTCATCTACCAGTTTCTAACAGTAACAGCTCACGACCAGAACCCAGTGGTTCTCTGCCTGCTAAATTGCTGCTGGTCCTCGCCAGTACAGTTATTCTTGGTGCCTTACTGCCTCAAGCGTCTGGGAGTCTTTGGAGCTGACTCAAAGTCAAAGTCACATTGCGACTAATGGTCAGTCAGTAAGTCTTGGTGTCGAGCCCCATCTGGGGCTCATGACCAGATGGGGCTCATGACCAGATATTTATTATTGTTCGACAGTTACGGTCTTGTTTTTGTGGGGCGCTCTCTCTGACGAGAGGATGGATCTGTCTTTTGTATATGCTACTGGCCCATTCCAGTGCAATCTCTCTCGGGTCCGAGTCCATTGGGACTCGCGACTATATTTAACTGTCTCAGATTTGAAATCCCCTTTCCGTCGCCTCTTACGACTCGCAGGGTCACGGTGGAGGTATTCGACTCTGCATCCAGATGTGTCTCTCGGAGCTGACTGCTAAATTGTCTTGCTTATAACATCTCGGCACGGACCGCGTAGGAAACACCGTTCTTCTGTTGCAGAGCAATTGTTGCTTAGAGATGACATGACCTATTCATTTGTTGCATGAGTAGACATCGACACGGACTGCGCAGAAAACCCAATTTCTCTGTCGTTTGTGTGACTCCAAAGTTCTTGCTTTGAGCGAATATGCAACTCAGACTAGTGGTGTGGAAACTAATGACTCCAATAAATAGAGATGTCCTTGAAAAACTGATAGTCGCTCAACAGACGCAGAAAGCCTCCGCATTATTTGGAATCCGAATGTTCATCACCGTTGGCCACTCGACCCTATTTCGAAACATTCAGATGCAGTTCACATTCTCACATTCGAAGATCCATTTTAACATTGTGCCTAAATCTTCCAAGAGGGGTTCACTTTGGGTTTTCTGATGAAAATTATCTAGAATTTCTAATTTTTCCATCCTTGCTGCATGTCTTGTCTACCTCATCCTCCTTAATTTCATCAATAATAATGTTTGGCAAACAGCATAAATTATGAAGTATCTGAGATTCGTTAGTGAGGGGGGGGGAGTCAAGTTGTGTCCACTCGGTACGGCGGCCACTGATTGGCCTATTGTACCTGCCCCGGGTGATTATGATGATGGAGAATTTTGTGGAATGAAGATTGGCAGGGGAATCCGAAGTACTCGGAGAAAACCCGCCCCAGCGCCACTTTGTCCACCACAAATCCCACTTAGACCAGACCCGGGATCGAACCAGGGTTGCCGCGGTGGGAAGCCAGCGACTAACCGCTTGAGAATCTTCATCCGGTAGTCTTGTCCCTGAAATGTTCTAAACGTATGGAAGATGTGTTAGCTTTTTTCTTTATTACGATTATGTCGTGCATTCTGGTGACGAGACATGAATATAATACGATTTACTTAGCTTTTTGTGGGTGTGCTTATAGACGAACCTCATAACTAGCGCTCAAGGTACAGAAACTGCCAGTAAGTTGAATCAACAAACATTGAAAATATTTAGCAGCAACAGCTGCATTAACTTCATTAGAACGAAGAATGTGACTAATTTGTAAGATCTGAGATCTTCAAGATGATTCATATGTCGCGTAGATCCTTATTGGTAGACATAACGGGATGTACTGGAAAAACGAACTACCTACACCACGTATGGTTTATGAAATATTCATGTTATATGAAAACATTTTGCGAGTAGGAACATCGGTGATGAAGGGAGACAAATATTGTGACGTGCTGCCTGAAAGCCAGACTATAAGACGTCCATCACTAGTCAACAGCTAGCAATTCCTAGACAGCGGTACCTAGGTAATCGTTGCCCCGGAAATGAAAGTCTAACAGTGGGGTTTCCACCGTTACAAACGAATTGCTTGAGGCAGACATATTTTCCCGCTTTTGTTGCGTAGCAGCGGGCGAAATTAACCTTCTACAAGGCATTCCCCATACAGTGCGAGTGCATGTTATAACAGTCCAACTTCGGCCAGAGACCAGTAGAGTTCGTATTCGACGAGAGCAAAGGGCAGTTGAGCTCCGAGCAGAGCGGAAGATGCTTCACCAAGATCAGCGGTGCAAGTAATTGCAATAGTGAAGAGGAAACGTCTGACGACGTTATAAGTTGACAACATCTGTATTTGAGAGTGTGAAAAGAGATAGTGCAATAAATATTCGTTCATATCTGAGAACCCGCACAAATTTCTTGTCGCGTTACCTAGCAAATACGCGACAATATGTATAATTAAAATGTAATTATAATTTTCTTGTGGAATACTCAAATATTCTATTTTGGATATAACACTATAAACCCGCAACTCTTAAACATTTTCTAAACAGATCAATATTATTTTGAATTAAATGATACTCGACAATGATTAAAGATATGTTGATCCAGAGATACGGAAGTATTTAAAACTACATTCATTCAATAGTCTACGGCAGCAGTCTGTTGATTTGGGACAAAGTGACTTTTATCCATAACGAATTTTGATAGTTCTATGTTTCAATCAGATTCAAATATTATTTTAGCCAGATTATCAATGGAAGTGGACTTTCAAATAAATATCTTTCATTTTACTTGTACAAACTCAGCTCTCTCAATATTGAAATTCGTCCAGTTGTTTAATAAATTTGACATAATCACGTTTTTCATTTGGTTAAATACAACTTTTCTCCCCTCCCCAAGAGATTACAAAATGTGGGGTTTCAAAATTTGAACTCGTTACTCATAAATACTAGGATGATACAAGCAGGACTGTAAAAGATGAAGAAGAAAAAGAAGAAGCATAAGGTGGTACGTAATTTTGATAGTAAAACTTATGGGAAGAGACAGCGGCCTCCGTAGTCTAGGGGTAACGTTCCCACCTCCTGACTCAAGGTACGCGGGTTCAAACCCGGCGGAGGTCGTGGAATTTTTAAGGGCGGAAAAATTAAGGGAACAAGTCCTCCGGGAGGGACTTTAAGCCGTGGGTCCCGTGTCGTAAAAGATCCTCATGTCTCTAGGAGACCTCAATTTCCCGCCCAAGCAGTTTCCAATGGATCTAGTAGATGGGGGAAATATCAGGTACCGACGGCCGACCTCGTTGGCTTAACGGGGCTGATAGTACGCACCAGTACCTGTAGGGTATGGCGACAGTAGAAATTAAAGGGGGACGCACAATGGACCAATAACTGGTCTAAGTGCATGGGGAAACCCACCCCCTCTAATAATAATAATAATGGGAGGAGACCGTTTCGGAAATCTGAACATTGGCCCTGGATGTGAGTGTAATATTAAAATGAAATTTAGGGAAAGCGTGAAGTGAATTAAACGGGCTTAAGACAGCTGACCAATAATTGACTTTTGTGAGCACAGTACCGAGCCATTATATTGTAATAAGGAGAAGAGTACCTATGATTTATGACTGCACACAGGATGAGTAGAGAGCATCTGGGCTGTAGTTTCATCCTTGGTGCAGAAAGACTTAGAATTGTCGATGTACCTGGGTACGGTGAGGATGGAAGCCAGGCCACTCCCATAACTCGTAGTTATAAGCAGGAACATGACGGTGAGCCAAACCAAGACGTGTCGGTTAGGGCCGACATTTCGCGTGGACCTGCGCTCATCAGGGGGAGTCTGCAGCACCAGAAGGCCCAAAGCGTTGAACGCGCAGTCCAGCACTGAAGCGTACCTCCCTGTACCCGCCTGGATGTTTGTGCTTCTGCCTGGCAAAGCAGGAGCATTTTACTGTAGACAGAACCTTTCGACTACCGGCCTGAACCCAATACCCAGATCGAGATATAATTATCGGTAATTAATTTACGGACGCTCACATTTACCCTACTACAAAACACGAGATTGTAGGAGCGTCTGGCTTTGCCACGATTTGTGAGAAGAGCAGAGTTGCTGGCCTCACTCATAAAATCTTTAACGCGTCACTTTCTCCTATCTTCGACGCTCGACGTGAAAGCATTCACAATTCTTCTTCGGCCTTGCTGTTTCAATGCATACTATGATATATAGATTTCGGCATATAAGTTCGTATGTGTGCCGATGAGAACACTGGAGACAAGGGCTGCCAGGGTATGTGGTGTAGCCATGCGTGTTAAGGCACTCATGTTACTTTGGTTTGTTTCTGAGTACACCATGTTAGATATTCCCAACGAATGTCAAAAGTTATTGATTAGGTTAATTTGTTTGGTAATTATCATAGCCTTGCCAACTACATTCTTCTTCTGTAAATATACATGTAGGACTTGTCTATCTTGTTAGGAGTGATACTGCGTGTGTCTGTTACCAGTTTTGTTAAGGACTTGGTGCGTCTAGCAATAGTGGTTCTCTTAGGAGAACCTTATTCCAAAATCATGTATGCTAACGGATTTGTTCAGATTGTAATTCTGTATTAACGACCTATTACTGCAGGCCTGTTCTTCCTAACGTTATGTTAAATATAAATCTGTAGGCACACTTCTTAAGTGTGTCAACTATCTATTAATTTATTCGCCTATTAACCCTTTAAAACGCTATGTTTTTTCTAAATAAACGAAAATTCTGCTCGTATATCATACAGAACACATTACATCTCCACTATGCAGACCAGTCAGTTAACTCTGTTTAGGGAAATAATCTCTGTTCATTGTGAGAGTCATAAGAAACAATAAAATACACTCTGTAGACAGAATACTCAGTTCTGGTCCGCTAAAGACTGTGGTGTGTATACCACTTGGCTTTAAACGCTTAGAACTGATCTGTTATTCTACATTCTGATCTTTCTTGTCGTGAGTTTCGGAGAAAGGTAATTAATTTTACGTCCTGGTTACAAGCCTTTATTAAGATACCAGCCCATCTAAGGGGCACTGAAAATTATTGAACTAAAGATGATAAAGTGACCCGTTTGTTGAGTAATGTTTGGGCAAGCGGCTTAAATTTTCAGCTGTGTTTGTTGCATGATATTGGGCCGAGAGAACCCTATGGTTATAGGCCAGAACTCCGGGGAAGGTCTGGATATATGTAGACGGTTTATCACAGCCTCTGCTATTTAACGCTATAACACTTTCAGTCTCGCCATAGTTACAAACTAGCTTCACGTGTACATGTCCAAAGCCTTACGAAGCCCAGTAACTGATATTCTTAATTCGACAACTTCAGACAATTCTATGAAGCCGCTCTGAAAAAGGAAAACAATTACAGGATGTTCATCGTGTGAGGCATACTAAAGACGGGGCCATGAATTATGCCAGTAAATACCGGGCGGAAACTGAAATAAACAGCAAAGAGGAAACGAGAAAATGAAGCAAACCGAAGCGCACACTTGGCTTAGAAATGCCAATCCAGAGCGGTGAAGGAGTAGGAGAGGCCCAGGTGTATTACTTACCAGGGAATTTCTCCGTGGCTTTGGTAACGAGAAAGAGAGAGAATGTTGAAGCGACGACTGAGGCCCACACAGCAGCCCATGAGGTGACGGTGAAAGGTAGCAAAGGGGTGATCCAGCCAGCTAACGGCTCAGGTCTGGGAGCCAAGCAAGTGATGCCTGTTCGGATGTACGGAAACGAATAGTCCAAGAACTGGTACTCGTAGCTCCACAGATAGATGGCCCCGTATCCAAGCTCTGCCCTGTCCTCCACAACGGCCCTGGAACACATGTTTTACCAAGTGCAGTAGCTCCATATGCTCAGATGGAACCGTGTTACGGTTACTTTCACCCTCGGGGAAGGCGTCTCCGGTACCATTTGGCTAAAGGGTTGAGTGAGCCCGAAAGTAGGTCCGGGCCTGTTGTCCCTGCCGGGAAACAATTTTTTGTTGAAGAAAGCAGTCTTCTGGGA